GCACAGTTTTCTGACTTTCTGGAGGAAGATGGGACTCTGTGTCTTCATTTGTCGCAGTGGTTTTTTATTCTTATGTTAAGGGGAAAAAAGTATCAGAATGCCCAACAGTTCCCTGGTTGCATCACTACCATGGCTCAGTTCTTTGATTCCCTCTTCTGTCCCCTCTTGAGTTCATTCAGTGCCACTGCACGTCTTTGGGGAGACAGTGGGTAGGGTGGAGGGATGCTGGCGGGTCGGCACCACGGCATCTTGCATCTCAGGAAGAGGGGTGGGGAGGGAGATGGGAGTGTGACGTGTTTAATTGGAAGCAGTTGTGCTGGCCATTCCCTGTGACCACGTTTCAAGACGCAGAACACTTGAATCTCAGCCTGGCTTCCCACGTGTGCTCTCTCTGCCCCAGCTGGGGCACTCCCATTCATTTTGGGGTCTTCCTGGACACCTGCCTTTATCTCTCTCGCCCCTTCGACTCTTCTGGATGGCAGCGACTTAAGTTAGACTCAGGCATCCTATGGTCCTGAGACGTGCAGAAAGCAGACAGCATCCCCATGCTCTCATTTGTCAAAGATCTCTTGGGTTAAAATACCCACATCAGTGACTGCAGATAAGTTCGGGATTTTCTTTCAGGAAATTCCAACTCCTTGTTGAGAATGTCCCTGGTTTTCAGTGGTATCTCTAACATGTGGAGTTGACTTGGATTCAGGTTAACGTAGAAGTCGTCATTTTTAATGGGAAGAGTAACATGCAAGGTGGGGGAACGTGTAAAAGTGACCCTAACAGTTGTTTTCATTTTGACATGCTCTTTTATACATGTATGTTTATTTACATAGCCAAGATCCCGATCTTCAGAATAACTTGAATCCTGCTGCTTTAACTTAAGCCCCATTTTATGTCTTCACATTATTACTTTTAATAACGGTAGCATGTTTCGACTCATTAATATACTGTGATTTGGGAGGTGGAGGCGAGAGGAGTGCCTGAGCTCAGGGGTATGAGACCAGGCTGGGCAACTTGGCGAGACTTTGTTTCTACAATAAATAAAAAAATTAGCTGGGTGTGGTGGACACACGCCTGTAGTTCCAGCTACTTGGAAGCTGAGACGGAAGGATCGCCTGAGCCCAGCAGGTTGAGGCTGCAGTGGCCATGAGCATGTCACTGTACTCCAGCCTGGGTGACAGAACCAGACTCTGACTGAAAAAAAAAAAAAAAAGAAATATATATATATATATACACACACGTGTGCACACACACACAGATTTATTAATGATATACCTAAGTGAACTGTGATTTGTGAAATGATCCATCTAATCTTGGACATCCTAGAGTGTTTCCAACTTTTGGCCCTTGGTGGGAAATTCTAAAGCAAACATCTTTGTGCCTACATCTTTCAGTTTCTGTTGAATTGGTCCCCTGGTGTCATTTCCCAAGAGGGAAGTTGCTCAATTTGAAGGGTGTAAACATCTTCATGGCTTCGGCGACACAGTGTGTATGGGGATATTTTTGAAATCAGTGTTCTCTCTGTTGGCATCCTGGGCCAGAAAAATGTCAGAAGAAAATAATATAAATGAACAAGTTAAAGGGTAACCCCCCGCCTGTAACTCAGCGAGACGTAGAAAAATGAAAACAGGGGTTTGGATGGGTGGGTGAGTGCTGCTACGCAGGGTGCTCTCTTCCTGTGAGCATGCATTCCTCGTGGAGAGATTTTCTTTCTAGCCAACTTTTGCTTCTGGGGTAATTCTGCTCACACTGCTTGTCCCAGAGCCTCACTGTGGTCTCCTGAGCTGCCTTACCCTCACCTTGAGCAAAGTCAAGATGCTCAGACCACCAGCGCTCACCCCCAACTCCTTCTGTTCTCCCTGTCGTCGTCCCTCTCTGATTCTTGAAATAGTGTTCACCAAGAAATGCATATCTGTGATGACCATAACAGTGAGATTTGGGATTGAGCAGGCCCTGCTCCAGACACGTGACGCGCATTAGCTTGAGTCCTCGCAGCAACCCTGCTAGGTAGGCATGTTCTCTCTCCACTGTATAGGTGAGATAACTGAGGCCAAGAGACTAAGTGTCTTCTCAGGGCCGCACAGGATGTGAACCCGTGTGTGTTAGCTGGCTGGGGCTGCCGCGGCACATTCCCACATCCTGGGTGGCTTCAAACAACAGAAATGTGTTCTGCAGTTCTGGAGGGAGACTGCAAGCCTGAGATCAAGGTGTCAGCAGGGCTGTGCTCCCCCTGGAGGTACCAGGAAAGAGCCCTTCCATGCCACTTCTGGGGGCTCCCGGCAGTCCTTGGTGTTCCTCGGCTTGTAGCTTCATCTCTTGCATCTCGGCCGTGGTCTTCAGTGGCCTTCTGTGTCTTTCTGTGTCCTCTCTTCTTCTCACAAGGGCACCAGTCATGAGGTTTAGGGTCCGCCCTAATTCAAGGTGACCTCCTCTTAATTATATTCACTCTTTATAACTGCAAAGACTTTGTTTTCAAATGAGGACACGTTCTGAGGTCCCGAGTGGATGTGAATTTGAGGGCAGGAGGTGCTGTTTAATCCACTGTACCATGGTCTTAGCCAGGACCCTTCCTGCCTTCTAGAATGAGAGTGGAGAAAAAGGAAAGTGGAAGGCTGCTCAGGTTCAGAGCTTGTGCAGGTGGCCTTGAGACAGACGGAGGATGGGTGACAGTCCCCTTGGGCCTTCTGAGAGGCTGTGTGGCCAGGAGGGACTGGAGTCCTGAGCGAGACACCTGTCCGAGTGAGACACCTGTCCGAGCGAGGGGAGGCTGCCCGCCGGGTCAGACTGTACGAGCGTGAGTTTGTCCTGCACAGAACTGAGCAGCTTTCTGCACTGGAAGGGAGGACCAGGGCTGGGCCAGTGCCCGCCATGCTTGAGGAGCTGAAATGAGGGCTGCCTGGATAATTGCCCACTCCAGCAGCCTCTCTGCTGTGTCTCGGAAGCCGTGGGGAACCCCAGAGGCAGACATCAACATGTCCAAGTTGGAAAGTCGGGCTGTGAGCCCCAGATGGGGAAGGAGTCTTCCGGCGTGTTATCTGTGAGCGGCCAGGAAACTGCAGGGGAGAGGTAGTGATTCTCCAGCAGGCAAGAAAGGGAAAATGAAAATGAACTGACAAGGCTCATGACTTCTCATTTAAAATGTGTAAGATGTAATTAACATGATCTGCATTGCAGTGCTGTCTCTCTTGTTTTATGTAAGTGAACATAAAATCATAATTTATAAGGGCTTCCCTAGGTTAGCTGCCAATGTCAGTTCCTTAAACTGTGTTTTCCCACAGGGTCTTAAGTTTCTCAACATTGAAGTTTTTCTGCCACTGTGGGGGTTTTCAGGGACAGGGTTTGTGGTGAGGTTTGGGTGGGGACTGCTTCTCCCTCGCCCAGATACTCCCCCACCCCTAGGCCAACCCAAAGATGCCAAACCTATTAATTCTCTCCTCTGTTCATGTGAATTTTTTCATGTCACTGAATGACAGTTGTGTATAGAAAAAGCTTCTAAAAAAAATTAAAGTCACAAATTTAGGAGCCTTATGTAAACTAAGGATCTTGCTCTTCTATTTATAAGCCAAGTAAACTTTAACAATTACATTTAGGGTGGCCATTGATTGACATTTGGCCTTATAACACACTTCAACTTCTTTTAAGTTTCTTTTAAAAGTTTAATATCTTTAAATTCCGTTTTGAATACTTGAGTTTCCTGATTGATGAACAAGCAAGTCCTTAATACTGATCTAGTACCTCAAACTTAGAAATATGGTGGCTTTAAGTTTCTTTTTTGTTTATTTGTTTGTTTGTTTTGAGTTGGAGTCTCACTCTGTCACCCAGACTGGAGTGCAGTGGCTGCTCCCGGCCACCGCAGCCTCGACCTGCTGGGCTCCGGCGATCTTTCTGCCTCAGCCTTCTGAGTAACTGGAACTACAGGCACGTGCTATCACGCCCGGGTAATTTTTTGGATTTATTGTAGAGATGAGGTCTCGCCAAGTTGCCCAGGCGGGTCTCGAACTCATGGGCTCAGGCAGTCCACTACACCTCAGCCTCCCAAAGCGCAGGATTACAGGCTGAGCCACCGAGCCCGGCTGGCTTTAAGTTTCTTAAATGCTCCAGTATCATATGTAAACTGAGAAAATTTCAACTTGGAATCTCAAGTCACACAAGTTTTTCAATGAAATCTTTGATGTTGGTATTACAAGGCAAATCCCCTACTCAATTAGGTCAAAATCTTGGAAATATTAATATTATGGATTTCATTTTTAAATGTTTCTGTACTTATTTTTAAAAACAGATTTATTGAAATATTATGCACGTATAAAATTCACCCATTTTAAGCTTCGAATCCGATGAATTTTAGCATATTTACAGAACCATACAAATGTCCCCGCAGTCTCATTATAGAATGTTTCCATCCCCTGAGGGGAAGCTCAGGGTCTACTTACCATTCCTTGCTGTTCTAGCCACTGATCTGCTTTCTGTGTCTATACAGTTGCTGGTTTGGAACATTTTCTGTGCTTCATTTGAAACCAGCCAGGGTTCTTGAGGAAACAGTTTTGGCATCTCAAACAATTTTGGGGTCACCTTGTGAAGTCATGTTTTTGAGTTACAGCCTCAGGGGCCTGAAGTTTTCTCTTGAGAGCCGTGCTCTGCCCTGAGCGGGGCTCCTGCAGCCATGTCCCGGGTTCAGGTCACTGACCCCCCAAGTCAAATGTCTTGTCACCAAAGATTGGGCCCTCCAGGTGGCTCCATTCCCTTCTGATTCCTTGCCTGTCCTCAAGCTCACAAACAACTCCAGGACTGAGCTAAGTAAGAGCTAACTGAAGTCTCCCTTGGTGAGGTCTGACTCCGAGGTCGCCATTCTGAGGTCCTGTTTGTGACAGCCGCCACACTCCAGTGGCCATCTGCCATCCTCAGAGTGCCAGCTCAGGGGCCACCAGCCGTCTCGCTTACCCAGAGCCTCTGGGTCCCACCTCAGGGTGGTGTTCCATGTCCCAGCAAAAACCCAGCGGGGACATGGGTAGATATCTGTACACCCATGTTCATAGCAGCATCAGTCACAGTGGCCAAAAGGTGCAGACGACCCTAATGTCCACCAAGTGATGAATGGATGTGCTGTATGTGTGCGACGGAATAGAGTTGAGCCTGAAAAAGAAGGAAATTCTGTCCAGATCCCAAAGGATCAGTGGTGTCCGATTCTACTTGTAGGAAGAACTTAGAATATTCCAATTCATGGAGGTAAGAGGGAAGGCCGGGCTCTGTGGCTCGGTCTGTCATCCCAGCACGTTGGGAGGCCGAGGCGAGTGGATTGCCTGAGCCTGCAGGTTTGAGATCCGCCTGGGCAACCTGGCGAGACCTCATCTCTACAACAAATCAAAAACTAGCCGGGTGTGGTAGTGCGTGGCTGTAGTTCCGGCTTCTTGGAAGCCTGAGGCGGAAGGATCACTGGAGCTCAGCAGGTGGAGGCTGCGGTGGCTGGGAGCGTGTCACTGCACTCCAGTCTGGGCGACAGAGTGAGACTCCAACTCAAAAAAAGAAAGAAAGAAACGAGGGAAGGATTACCACAGTAAGTGGGGAGTTGATGTTTAGTGAGCACAGAGTTTCATGTGGCATGACGACATGCTCTAGAGACGGTAGTTGGTGACAGTTGTCCAGCGAGGCGAATGCACCTAATGCCACACAATTTTTAAAAGCAGAGTCCCAGTGGTGTTGTTTCTTGCCTTGGAGATCTCGCCCAAGGGTTCCCGTCAAATGAGTGCTTTCCCAGTTTGGCCTCAAGCCATTGTGGGGATGATTGACAGTGTAGATGAAGAAATGACGGGGGCTCCGCTTTGCTGTCACGCCTTGGCAATAGGCTGTCCCTGTGAGCACCTGTGCCAGGCCCCTGGCCTCGCTGGTTCGCTTGGCCTCCCGGGTCGCCCTCCCTCTCCTCACCTCCAGACAACCTTGCATGTGCACTCCCCGTGCGCTCCTGTTCGGACCTTTCCGGGATACGAGTCCCCGGATGCTCACTAAGTGCCTCCCAGGGCCCTCTGCGGGGCGGTCTGCTTCCGAGGTCCGGGAAGGGCTGGGAGTGGGTGTTTTAAAAATAAGTACTTGGATGTGCCAGGGAAGTTTAGATGCCCTTGGACTGGGGCAGACTATTTAAAACATGGTTTCACTTCCTGTCTTTTGGGAAACGAACTCACATTTCTTCCTTCAGGCCCTGAATTTAGGCCTCTTCAGGTCCTGAGTGTGTCACGGACAGACAAGACAGTCCAAGTCCTCTGCTCGTGGAGCTGACAGTCTCGTGGTAGCTATGGACAGTGGCCAACAATGCATTTCCACTAAAAGTCAGGAGGGAAGAAAGCCTTGAAGAAGAATCCAGCAAAGCAGGGCAGGGAGAGAGAAAGAGAAGCTGTGTGGGGTAGAGGGTGTCAGGGAAGTCCTCTCTGGGTAGTTGATAATGTGCTCGGAGAGCAGGGTGAAGAAGAGTGCACTCGGTGGTATTGGGAGAGTTGGGAGGCACCTTCCAGGCAACAGAACAGCAAGTGCAATGGCCCTGAGGTTTATGCTTGCTAGTTGTGAGAGGCAGCAAGAGGAGTGGCCAGGGCAGGCAGAGCTAGGTCCTCTGGGACCTCCTGGCCCGTGGACGGACTTTGGCTTTCGTTCTGAGAAGCTGGCTGTTCTGTGGAACAGGGAGGAGGTTTGATGGGACTTACATTTTTATTTTATTAATTAATTAATTAATTAATTTTTTGAGTGGGAGTCTCACTCGGTCGCCCAGACTGGAGTGCAGTGGCCACTCCCGGCC